CACAAAGGCAAGAAGGCAGACATCTACAGGCCAGGAAAAGAGCCCTTTCTAGAACCCATTCACAGGACCATGCTGATATCAGGCTCCCAGGCTCCAGAAATTTGAGAAAATATATTTCTGTTGTTCCACCTACCCAGTCTATGGTATTTTGTTATGGTAGCCTTAGTGACTGGGACACTCCTCCTCTCCCCATCATTCCACCCACACAAGGACAGAAAAAGGGAAGGACCTTTATCTGAAGAAACTGAAAGTTTTCTTATCTACCACCCAAAGGATAAACATAAAAACTTGGGGTCATTCATCACTAAGCCTTGYTCATGAATGCCTATGAGCTTTCAATCAATTTTGATAGCTTTCTCTTAAATATGAAAAATTAAGGATAACACAGATCTAAAGAAAGCCTCTAAAAGAAAGAAGCCAAAATAAATAAGAAAAAAAAAAGTTAAAAGAACMAAAAACTATGCAGGAAACAGAACATTTCAAAGAAACTATAATTAACATCATTGAAGAGATAAAAGATTCTGAACTTATGAAAAATGAACAAAATGCTATAGTACTGGAACAAAAACACAAGAGCTCATTTWAAAAAAAAAATTGTTAAGCTAAAATCTTAAAATCCAGTGAAAGGATTGAAATTTCCCAGATAGAATAGACAACTTTTTAAAGATCAGACTTTTCAACATCAACATTAGAAGCCAGGCAATAATGAAACACCATCTTTAAACTTCAGAGAGAAAATGATTTCCAATATAAAAATCTCTCAACAACCAGTCAGGTATGAGGGTAAAAATACAATTCCCAAAAGGGTACTTCTTACACACCTTTTCACATTCCTCCTAGTAGAAAAATACAGAATTACAATATGAACCAAAAGACAGGCAAGAGATCCAGAAAGGGCATTCAACAAAACTGAAAGAAATTCCCAGAATGTCACTCAGCTAAGGAAAGTCCCAAGGTGATAGTTATGCAGCAGGCCTTAAGAGTAAACAATCCAGACAGAAGCAGGAAGGACATCTACAGAAGGGATGTCTACAGGAACAAATGGAACTGATAAGTTTATCTGACAGCTTTGCCCATGTGGAAAATTGTACTGAGAAGCATTTTATGGAGCTGTTGGAAGATACAGAAAGAATTTGTCAGAGAAAACTAAACAAGTGAAAAAAAAATTGGACATGAAATACAAAAGATTACACATACACATACACATACATATATATCCACTGGGATTACAGGTGTGTACCAGCATGCCCAGCTACTATAATGAGATTCTCAATGGTGGATACCTTTAAAACATGTCCATTTTTACTTTCCAAGTGTTTGAACAATTAAGTCTTAGAGAAAAATGGGGTAACTCCAGTAGCTTATCTCTATAAGCACCAAATCTAGTTATTTTCCAGGTTTATTTTGTTTTTGGTTTTGTTTGCCATAATGAGGACTGAACCTAGAGGCAGTTTACCACTGAGCTACATCACCAGCCCTTTCTTCTTATTATTATTTTTTTATTTTGAAACAGAGTCTTAAGTTGCCAAGGCTGCCTTGAACTTGCCATCCTCCTGTATCAGCTCACAAATCACTGGGATTACAGACATGAGCCACCAGGCCCAGCTATTTCTAGTTTTAAGAATCYAAACTATTCTGCACTTTTTATAAGAAAAAAATTTAACCTTTATTTGATGAATTAGACTATCATGTAAGTCAGCTATAGCACTATCACCAYATGGCCTGAAGAGATGTTAGGTGCATAAGGTATTGGTCATTATATTCAACCAGCCTACACTAGTAAGCCTAGCTTTCAAATTTTCGGTCAGTGATCCTTGATTCTGTCAGGACTGACCCATCTTTTAGTTTATTGATGAGATTAAAAAATTAAAAACCATGCTTCAGACTGAACATTTACTAAATGGCTTGCCAGGTCCATTCATATATGCACTTTCATTCAATCCGAACACTTTGTTAGAATATAACCAACATAAAAATAAAGCTGTTCTAATGACTTTTAAAAACTCTAAATAAAAAAGTACAGGAGCTTAATAGTTTAGTAAAGTTGGGAGTGGCCAGTTCTTCTGGGAACTACATACATCAATTTTGTCTTTTGTTGAGGGAAAATCTATTTTCCTTCTTTAAATATCGTTAGAGCTTACTTTAGTTCTGACTCAAGATTATTGAATYGAGCTGGAGTTGTAGCTTGGTGGTAGAGCACTTGCACCACACACACAAAAAAAATTATCATTGAGATACTAAAAAGCAAGCTGGGCGTGGTGGCACACACCTGTAATTCCAACAGGTCAGGAATCTGAGGCAAGAGGATTGTGAGTTCAAAGCCAGACTCAGTAACTTGGCCCTAAGCAACACAGCAAAACCCTACATCTACATAAAATATTTTTAAAAGGAGGATGTAGCTTAGTGGTTAAGTACCCCTGGGTTCTATCCCCAGTACCAAAAACAAACAAAAAATACTAAAAAGCAATATTTTTCTTTGATTTTTAGTTTTTTCTCAAAACAGCAGCATTTTTAAATAAATAAATAGATAAAATAGCATTTTTGTACAAAAAAGATTACAAAAGTTAATATCTAGTCATTCCTTAAAAAATCCATTTAGGTTGTGGGAAAAGCCTAATATAAAAGGTATCATTGTTGGGGCTGCAGTAGTGGCTCAGTGGTGGAATGCTTGCCCAGCATGTGTGAGGCCCTGGGTTCAATCCTCAGCACCACATATAAATAAATAAATAAAAGACCCATTGACAACTAAAATATATTTTTTTAAAGCTAACCTTGTTTATATTTAGGCTTAAAAATGTAAGCGGTAGCACTCAAGAGAATTCTGGGCCTAGCATGGTAGCTCAGGTTTTTAATCCTAGGGATTTGGGAGGCTGAGGCAGGAGTATCTCAAATTTAAAGCCAACCTGGACAACTTAGTGAGCCCCTGTCTCAAAATAAAAAACAAAAAGGACTGAGAATGTAGCTCAATGGTAGTGTACCCCTGGGTTCAATCCCCAATACCAAGGAAAAAAAAAGAAGAAAGAGGGAAAAAAACGATTCTAAATGTAATTTAAAACATAAAAATTTTGCTTTCACAGTCATTTCACTTTTTTTTTCCTGGTAATTTAGATTGAACCAAGGGCCTCACACATGCCAAGCAAGCACTATACCCTTGAACTACATCCCCAGTCCTTTTTGCTGTTGTTGTTGTTGTTGTTCCAGGGATTGCAGGGGCACTCACCACTGAGCCACATCTCCAGCCCTTTTTTGTATTTTATTTAGAGACAGGGTCTCACTGATTTGCTTAGCACTTTGTTTTTTGCTGAGGCTGGCTTTGAACTTGCAATCCTCCTTCCTCAGCCTCCTAAGTGTACACCACTGCACCTGGCCAGTGCTTTCATTTTTGATACAKGGTCTCACTAAATTGCCCAGGCTGGCCTCAAACTTGCAATCCTCCTGCCTCAGCCTCCAAGTAGCCGAGATTACAATCATAGCACTACAGAGCCACTGAATTTAAAGGACATCTGTTTACACCACGTTAAGTCAGAATTGTTTTTTTAAAATGCATGCTTATTTATTTTCAGCCATTCCAATATCCATATGCACTTCCTCAGAGAATTTATGAAGCAAATGCAGTTTACATACCACAAGTAAGACTGATACCAAGCCACTTTTGGATAGACTTCCAGGCACTTATATTTTATACTTARGGATTAAAACAAATAGCTTTAAAATATTGACCACTTAAAATTCCTAAGTAAACTCCATCTTCAAAACTGCTTTTGTAGAAGCAACAATCTCCAGAAGTGAGAGATCTTTACTTTGCATCAGAATACCCGATGGCAGGTTTGACTTGGATGTCAAAGCTTTGCTATGGACAAAAAAAAAAAATTGGAAAGTAACACTGTTACTACATACTCATGTATAGCTTTTTAAAAAATTACTGTGAAAAATAAGCCATTCTACTTAAAACAGCATTTTTCATGATCTAAGCGACATCAGATCAGCTATGCTAAAACTACTTGCATTTCATTTTTTGCTAAAAAAAAAGATTTTATTTCACAACACTGTAGCAACATATATTTATAATAAATATCATTTCAAACTTTTGAGTTTTAAATTTGTAATCACAGATTTACTTCCCAACCAATCTGCATGTTGTACTACTCTGTCAAATCATTATATATCCACCTCTAAAAGGACCACCTATTTTAAAGAAGTRATATCTTGAAAAACTATGAAAAGTCAACATTCAAAAGCAAAAGTGTGTCTCAAAAGGACGCCTAAGAATCTGCCTTTTTCTTATGCTAAAACATTTTGTAACCACTTGATGTGGCCAAAACACGTCAAAGCTCTTGATTTTTATTATTTGCTGCAGAAAAAAAGAATGTGGCTGAAAATTCTTCTGAAGGGTGATATTTCAAATAGGACCACTCAAAACACTTAAGAATACGGAGTGGAGAGGAGGGTGGAGGCTGGGTACCTTATGAAACAGCACACTTGGGGCCCTGCACACTACCTCACTTCCCTAATAGGGATGAAATGCTCAGGCCTCTGGTAGCTTCCAGCTGACGCCAATGCTCTCCACACCCCTTTTTTTGACAGGATTTTCTGGTGTCGGAGGTTGGGTCCCAAATACAAATCGCTGTGATCACATGTAAAGAGTTTATTTACTTATCAAGCATCTTTTAAAGACCGAGCCCTTCTCGTTTGTTCCTATCTCCCTCCCTAACTAAGCATACCTAGAAGGGTCCTCCAGACCGATTTCTACAAATGCTGCAGCTCGTTAACTGGGAGGAAAAACCATATAGAGTTTAGGCCATTCCCCTCTCTGCCACCAAAATTACAGGCTCCATTTCCTGTCCCCTTGAGGACTGCAAAATTGCCCGAGAACCTGACGCCTCCCGCCTGTCCAGACTGGCGCACGCCGCGGCCGCGCTCCCCCTTCCCGGGCCCCCAGCGCTTAAGGGTGGCGGGGACCTGGGCGTCCCCTCCCCTCCCCCGCGCGAGCCAGCACCCACCTCGCGGCAGCGGCTTCACCTCCCCGTTCTCCTCCCGGGCGGCCCCGCCAAGGCCGTGCCTCCTCTTCTCCTTCTCCCGCTTTTCCTTAGGTCTGCGTGGCTTGGCGTTAGCCGAGGAAGCGGCGGCCGGCAGCAGGAGATGGTGAGGCTGGGCGTGCAGCAGCGTAGGAGGGACCAGCAGTTTGCGCGGCACCGGCTGAGACAAGGAAGCGGAGGCTGAAGAGGGGACCGCCGAACCCGCGGAGAAAGAGAAACAGCTCCGAGAAGACGACGGAGATGGGGTAGCAGAAAGAGCAGAGAAGCTCCAAGACGCGGGGCTGCCATAGCTCTGAGGCGAAGGTGCCACGGGCGGCTGCAGCTGCCTGCTGTTCCCGCCGCTACCCCCTTCTCCGTTCACTCTCCGCGGCGCCTTCTTCTCCTCAGTCCGGACCTTCTTTGCGGACAGAGAACCCGGTGGGTCCCGAGAGGAAGATTGAAGCTTGCCAAATGGTTCTTTCTCGGAAACGACGGAGGCAGAGGCGGCGGCGGCGCCGTGCACTGGGCTCGGCGGTTCCGCCATCTTGCGCTCCTGTTGTATTTACTCTCCTCCGCTCCCTGGCGCGAGGCTCGGGGCGGGTCCTCTGCCAGGGGCGGGGCGGGGGCGGGGCTGCCGGGCCACCGGCCGGGTCTTTCATAGGGTGAGACACACTGAGGGATCCATCTAGAATCCAATCAAAGGTGCGGGCATAAAGCGAAGGGTTGGAATTGCCAAGCGGACTTGCTTTGGAGGTCAGAGCTCCGCGGGGTGCGGGTAGTAGCAGGGGGAACTGCCGGAGGSGAGGGTCTCCGACTGTCGCCAGCGTGAACTCGGGTGCCCTGTGAGAGTGTCTGGGACACTCTGGACCCCAAATCTGCCCCGACCGAGGGCGCGTTTGTTCCCGCCTCGAAGACTTTGTTGCAGTTGTACCACTTTCTCTTCCTTTTTCGCCCGGCGTGCTTTTCCCTTCCTGCCTCTGCGCGTTCGGAAAGCTGTTTTTCGGGGATGCTTAGCTCAGAGAAGTGTTGCGGAGAAATAAATCCTTTCTTTTGTTAGTCGGTAGTCAATTGATGGGAGGGACTAAAAAAATCACTTATTGTGGTGACAAGATGTATTACTATTGCTAAGGTCGTGAACGCTCGTGCTTTGTGGGAAGATAAAGTCCTATGGACAGGATACTTCCTTTCGGATTACTTCCGAGCCTGAAGGTAAGATATCCCCGGGGCTTGAAGACTTTTAAAATTGTGAGTGGATAAAAAAAAAAATAAAAATAAAAAAAAAAAGAACTATGTAATGTTATGAACGACCAATAAAAAAAAAATAAAAATAAAAAAAAAATAAAATTGTGAGTGGTCCCTTAAAGGTTTTAATATATTTTTTTTGTAATTATAACTTAAACTCGTCAAGAAAATGCGATATTACTAAGTGTTTGAAAACAAAAAAATAAATAAACTTCTGTATTTTATTGTGTAGTAGCGCCGAGTGTCCCATACTTTGAAAGCGGGTGCTTTGATTTTTGGATTAACAAGTAAGGAAGTTGGGGAGACGGGTTGCAATACAGTTGTAACCATAGCAAAGAGCATGCTTTTAACTCTTAGATGTCATAGGACGTCAGAAAGTCAAAAGGAATGAATGTAAAAATAGAAGTAGTCAACTCAGTGGGCCAGTGAGAAGAAATTTTATGATTCTAAGAGGAGTCCTAAATTGCATAGGCTTTCTGGAAACGCTTAAAAGTAACTTTTAAGGAATATCCATTCTTGCGACCTCAGAAAGTTGGAATTCTTTACTTCCGTTTTCTTTCTTTTCCCCCTTGAGATTTGGGAAGGAGTAGTCAAATTTTAACATTGATTTATAGGTATATTTAATTTTAAGTACCTAAAATTTTTACAGTAATGAAATATTTAATTCCTTTTATACATAACAGTAAAAACTTTGTAATTGGAATTGACTGGCATCAATATCTTCATCAATAGTAGCATTGGTGGGAGAATGAACAGAGAGGATAGGTAGGACAGTTGGCAGATGATTATCTGCCAACTCAATGGAGTTGTGACCTTAGGCTGGCTTCACCTGTCACGACCTGTTTTTTTATCTGTTGAATGAGTAAATTTCATCCCATGATCACTAATTTCCTTCCACACTCTAAACTTACGCAGTTTTGAAGAGGGTTTTCAAAATCACACTGAAATCATTATAATTAAAATAATTTCTTAGCCAGGTGCATTGGTGCATATCTGTAATCCCAGCTTGGGAGTCTTAGGCAGAAGGATCACAAATTCAAGGCCAGCCTGGGCATTTAGCAAGACCCTGTCTCAAAATATAAAATAAAATATGGCTGGAGTGGGGCTCATTGGTGCACACCTGTAATCCCAGCAGCTCTGGAGGCCAAGGCAGAAGGATCAAAAGTTCAAAGCCAGCCTCAGCAATTTAGCAAGACCCTGTCTCAAAATATAAAATAAAATATGGCTGGAGTGGGGCTCATTGGTGCACACCTGTAATCCCAGCAGCTCTGGAGGCCAAGGCAGAAGGATCAAAAGTTCAAAGCCAGCCTCAGCAATTTAGCAAGACCCTGTCTCAAAATAGAGATTAAAATGAGCTGGGGATGTGCTCAGTGGTTAAGTATCCCTGGGTTCAATCCTTGGTCCAAAAAAAAAAAAAGTGCCTGGGAATGTTGCTAGATGGTAGACTGACCCATGAGATCAATCCCTAGTACTGTACTGCAAGTAATAATAAAAGTAATTTATTAATTGTTGGCCCTCCTTATCTAGAGAAGTATCTCATAAACATTAAGGTATGCCTTGAATCTTGTACACTCATTTATCTTCCACACTTGAAGTCTTAAAAATCTAACTTCTTAAAGGTGCAACTAAATGATACTCTTATCTGTGTGAATTTGTTACTCCTTGCACAATAGTACACTATACTGCCCTGTTATCAGGCCTGGCCTTAAACTAGCAGAGCCTGGACAAGACCCATGTACCACCTGTCTAAATATTTGAAGTTATAAATCAAGATAACAAACTATAACATAAAATATATTGTATTAAACCTTGACAAATCCACTTTTGTAATGATCTGGAAGGCTAGCTTTAAATTTAGAATTCTCAAGACTCCTCAAACTGATTCTGACCTCTTTCTTCCCCCAACTTCTTCACCTGCCACACTAACTAAGGCCATGTATGGACCCAGCATGTTGAAGCATGTGTCCACATCCCATACTCCCTGAAAATAAGTACAATCAGCAGCTCAGTCTAACCTCAGACTTAGGCAGTCTTAAAGAGATGGGGAGTCTCCTAATAGGCATGGCCACTTGACTTCAGGGATTCCTTGTTCTTTGCAGCAGAAAGAGACAGATTAGATAGGGGCCCCTTACCTTTGCCTAAGGGCAGCACTGTCTGCTATAAAACAGTTTGATTGTAATTAAGTAAGGAAGTGACCAGTAAGAGGAAATGTTTTTCTCTCCTATACAATCTCCCTTTCCATTTTCATTCCTAACATTGTTTAGAAGAGAATATCAACCACTTTCACCAGTTCCTTTTATCATCTCACTAGCCCTAAAAACCATCCATTTACATCCACGTTCACTGTTGTTCACTGTTCTCACCTGTGCCAAGCACCCCCACTTCTCAACTATATGACTACATTAGCCTTTTTTCTGATCTCCTTGTATTTAAGCTTTCTCACATCTGTTCTCCATTCTACCAACAGAATGCTCTTTTCAAAATCTAAATCTGATCACATCTATTCCTTTGTTCCAGACTTGTCAATGTCTCTTATTGCTCTTAGGATAAGAACAAAATCCTTAGTATGGCCTATAAGACCTTCAGGATCTAGCCCCTTCTTCAGTGTAAAAGTAATGTCTTTAGCTTCAGAAGATACCATGTCTTTCAACATAGGAACATTGCATATGTTCCCTCTGCTTGGAATGCTTCCTTTATCTGATGCTTGTATAATGGTTTAGATAATGAACATAAGGGAGGCAGATAGATATCATGAATGTCTCTTATATTTCTAACCTGCATAACAGTAGGTCCGTTCACTGAGCTAGAAATCACTGACGAATGACAAGTGTCAGGTAATTCTTTGGCATTGGACTGATTGAATATGAGGTACCTATAAGATATCACGTTCTTCATGTCTCAACTCAAACCTCACTTTCTTAGAATAGTCTTCCCTTCTCCTTTCAGTCAAGATTAAGTTATTTTCTTTTTGTTCCTTTTTTGCTTTTTTTAATTGTTGGTGTTTGGTGTTCATTCTCTCATCATCTCTCCCACCCCTTTTCATTCCATCCTCTGTAACCCCTCTACTGAAAACACTACCCTGTGCCCTACTTTTCCATCTTGTCTGAAACTTGACTGCTCTCTGAGAACACACTACATTTTTAAAAGTAGCTTATTCTTTCTGAGCTATGGATTATCTCCCCAGTTCCACATTACAAAATTTCAGGTTGTTATTACCCTTTTAATATATGCAAAAAGCCCTTCCCTTTACAAGACCTTTAGGATATCCTGATATCATCCTTCAGTGACTTCCTGGTCATTTTACCACACTTTTTGAAGATTTTGATACTTGGCTTATTATACTCCTCTCCTCCATCCTCCAACCATCATTTTAGCTGACTTCAATGTTCATGCTAATGATCCATCTAATTGCTCTAGGCTCAGTGTTTCTTCTCAGCCCTATACTTACATTTGGTTTCAGCCACAAACTCCAATGGGCCCTCCCTGGTTTTTTTCATTACCCCCAAGTCTTCCATGTCTGAAATTGTTTAGTATTCAGTTTGCAAGGGCTAAGGGTGTAGCTCAGTGGTAGAACATTTGCCTAGCATGCACTAGTTCCTGGGTTCCATCCCAGCACCAAAAAAAGAAAGAAAGAAATCAGCTTTCTGACTCTTTTTACACCATGCTCTAGCCCTTTGACCTCATGATTCCATCTTTTTTCACCTACAATAATTGTCAAATAAAATGCAGGCTATATACAATGTTGGAGCATATTTATTCTTAAAAATATTCTGTTTATCTGAAATTCAAATTTTTCTGGGCCTTTTTTYCCCCAACAAATTTGACAGCCCTGCATTGATTCATCCCATCTATATTTTTTTCCCTATCTAGCTGGAACATGTATTATATTATTTGCTTTGGTTTTTGGGTGTGTTTTTGTTTTTGTTGCAGTACTGGGGATTGAACCCAAGGGTGCTCTACTATTGAGCTGCACCTCTCACTCTTTTTTATTTTTTATTTTGAAACATTGCTCAATTGCCTAGGCTGGCCTTGAACTTGTAATACTCCTGCCTTAGCATCCCAAGTAGCTTGATTTACAGGGGTGCCCCACCATACCCAGCTGTGTTATACTATCTGTACTGAACATTTGCCAGCATCTTGATTCCTTGCTCCCTAATTCTCTTCATCTCTGAACTAACCCCAGCCTCAGGACATTAACATCTACCTACTTTTCTGTATCCAGGCTGCCAATCTTTGCCCCCCACCCTTTTGTTTGTTTGTTTGTTTGACAGTGTTGKGAATTCTTAGAAATGTGCATTCCTTTTTTTTGTTGTTTGTTTGTTTTTGTTTTTGTACCAGAGATTGAACTCAGGGGTACTCACATCCTCAACCCTATTTTGTATTTTATTTAAAGAGGGTCTCACTGAGTTGCTCAATGCTTCGCTATTGCTGAGGCTAGCTTTGAACTTGAGATTCTCCTGCCTCAGCCCCCAGAGCTGCTGGGATTACAGGCATGCACCACCAAGCCCGGCTATGCTTTCTTTTTTAATCATTCTGTATACTTTCATGTAATATTATTCATCACAGTGTCTTCCAGTATCTCATAAGTGCTCTTTTTCTCCTGCCTTGACCTTCCTCCTGATTCTTGACTCATAGCCAGGTGCTTAGTGGACATTATCATCTGTGTAACTACAGACACCTCCAGCTTTATACCACCCATTCTCATCCTCCTAAATATCATGCTCTTGCATTCTTTATCCACCTTGTCTTTCTGGCCACAAACCTGGAGACCTTCTCAATACTTTTTATTTTCTCACCCTCCACATTCAGTCACCATACYATCCCTAGTCAATTTGTCTTCTCAATTCTCACTCTTGCTTCATGCCTTCCAGCCTCAAATCAACTTGTATTTTGCCAACAATTTCATTAACTGTTTTTTCTGTCTCTAGTCTTATATTTTACAAACTATTCTGTGTGTTACTACCAATGATATACAAACCTGGTTATGCTTCACTTCCTTC